TTCCCCTTGTTACTGATTTGCGTTGTATTAGGTGCTTTTCGGATGTACTCTTCGACGCACGAGTGGTGGTTATTCACTGGCGTAAAGCACCAAGGGAGGGTGTTCGTGCGTGGAGTCTGATTAGTCGGATTGTACCAAATCACTGGCGGTTTCGTGTACCGCAGATGNACTGATTTGCGTTGTATTAGGTGCTTTTCGGATGTACTCTTCGACGCACGAGTGGTGGTTATTCACTGGCGTAAAGAACCAAGGGAGGGTGTTCGTGCGTGGAGGTAGATTAGTCGGATTGTACCAAATCACTGGCGGTTTCGTGTACCGCAGATGGGATTGCCTTGAGGGGCGGCTAGGAGAGACCTTGAGATACGAGTTGCGGGCCCCCTTTNCGAACAAGATCGACCTCAAACCAGTCAACGCCAATGATGTGGGGATGGAGTGTAGACCCATCGTAGAACGCGTTTTCGTTTGAAGTTGGNAGAGGTCACACAACAAGGGCATACCAACAGGTACAAGCTCGCATTGCGCGGGCGTCAAGACACCGAAAACAGGCGAACAAGATCGACCTCAAACCAGTCAACGCCAATGATGTGGGGATGGAGTGTAGACCCATCGTAGAACGCGTTTTCGTTTGAAGTTGGCGTCTTGTTTGAGAGTAGATGTGACAGATTTGCGTAGAATAGGGTAAGTCGTTATCATGAACGGAGAAGAAAGGGCTTTTCCAACACGGAGATGTAGCATGAATCAAAGCATTTGTTGGATTTCAGCTTTTGCAAGAGGACATCAACGCAGTAGTATTTTAGCAAGCTTACGAACGCATATAGGATACCATCAGGATTGTCATTGGTTTTATTTCAAATTGAGATATTTTTACGATGTACGTGACAGTATAAGAAATAAGTCCTACATATGTTGTTGTACTTCGTATTGGTTTAATATTCATGTAGAGTATGAGACATTAAGTGAAAGTTTTCTGAGGTACATCTGCAATTGTCGGAAGGCAAAAATAAATAAATAAATA